GTGATGGGACCAGATGCCATGATCTTAGTTTTCTGAATGTTGAGCTTTAAGCCAACTTTTTCACTCTCCTCTTTCACTTTCATCAAGAGGCTTTTTAGTTCCTCTTCACTTTCTGCCATAAGGGTGGTGTCATCTGCATATCTGAGGTTATTGATATTTCTCCCGGCAATCTTGATTCCAGCTTGTGCTTCTTCCAGCCCAGTGTTTCTCATGATGTACTCTGCATATAATTTAAATAAGCAGGGTGACAATAGGCAGCCTTGACGCACTCCTTTTCCTATTTGGAAGTGAGAAGGATAGAAAACAGCAACAAAAAACACCTTCCAGCTAAGCAGACTCCCTCTGCCCACGAAGCTTTCCTCAAGCCCCTTGTGATAGTGCTATTTACATCTTATTAGCTAGACTTTGGCCACCTGGCCACAGGGCACATTGCCACTTCCAAATAAAATCAAGGTTCTGTTATTAAGGAAGAATAGGAAACCAGATATTGGGTGGCCCCTAACTGTGTGTGCACAGCTGCTAATCAATAACATCTCCCTTGAACACACAGGGAGATTAAATTACTAGGGTATAAGCTCCACTGTGGCACCAGTGCCAGGCACCTGCGTTGTGTATAAGAGGGGCTCGGTAAATGATGGGTGAGTGGTTGAATGATTAGAATTCATCATGATGATTATTTTTCACATTACAGGTAAATAGAAACTACATTAAACATTTGAATGGGGCTTTCCAGGTGGTGCTAGTGGTAAAGAACCCACCTGCCAATGTGGGAGACGTAAGAGACGTGGGTTCGATTCCTGGGTCAGGAAGATCCCCTGGAGGAAGGCATGGCGATGCATTCCAGTATTGCCTGGAGAATTCCATGGACAGAGGAGCCTGGTGGGCTACAGTCCAGAGAGTCACAAAGAGTCAGACACAACTGAAGCGATCTTAGCACGCACACAAGCATTTGAATAGTGGACTAGTATTAAGAAGCTACAAGGAAATGGCCAGGCTCTATGTGTCCCTGTTTAGACTCAAAAGTTATTTTCTTAAGTTTTGACATTTTGTGTAGACTTGCTGCTCAAAGTGCGTGGAAACTGGCAGAACCTCAGGCTCCCCTCCAGATGGAATTCAAACCCACGTTGTAAACATGCTCAGGTAATTTGAATGGGCCTTAAAGTTTAGGAAGCAGATTGTTGTGCTTTTAAAAAAACTACTAAATTACAGAAATATTTCTTTGAAAATTTTTCCATACTTGCATTAAGGTATGGGTGTGTGTGTGTGTGTGTGTGAGTGTGAGATAGCACCACTTCTGTGGTTAGGGTGTGGGTGTATGAGAGAGAGAGAGAGCACTTCTTCCCACCAGCTGGTTAGGATGATGATTTCAGCCTGCAGTGGGTGTTTAAAGAAAAGCCCACTCGATGCTGATTCCAGTAGTCATTCTTTGCAGATAACTGAGGAGAGAAACATCAAGTTGTAGTCTTTGTCTTAAGCTTTTAATCCAAAGTGACTAATGACTTTTGATTAAAAGTGACTCCCTTACACATTAGTGTGCGGGGGCTGGAGACTTCTGTGTGCCTCACAGTTACCCACCACACACTCCCTGTCTGCCCCACCCTCCCAGCCTCCCCTTTCTGACGGCTTCCCCGGGGTCCGACCTTTGGGGGAGGAGGCAGGCAGCTCAAAGCCCACCCCACAGTTTGCAGGGGCTCCTCCAGGTGACTCCAGTACTCTCCTCGTCCCAATACTCGTCTCCAGTACTCGCCCGTCCCACCTACTCCTTAACCCACCTGAAAGTCGAGGAATTAACTACCTGCCAGGAATGATCACTGCAGGTATTTCCTATTTCTGAGGCAGCTGGAAATGCTATTTGTGGGCTTGAGAGGGTTTAGACCAGGGGCTGGGATCTTTGATACAGGGGTGAAAACTGGATTCCCGGTCATTTTATCAAGGGTCTGGATAAATGGCTGGACAGGAGAGTTGTGCAGATTTGGGCTCAACTCAGCAGGGTATTTATTACTGGTATTGGCAAAGGTGCGCCAGTTTTTCCTGTTCTGAATGAAAAGGCTGATAGCGTTCTGTTTCTTAACACAGTTTGACAATTGACAAGCTACCGCTTTGAAAATAGATGTTCTTAAAACAGTGAAAGCAGGTATCCTCCTTACTTGGAGAAAGAAGAATCATTTCCCAGGGCTTTGAGCAATTCTGCCTTGACTGTTGATGTCCTTCCTCTCTTCTCCCCGCTGCTCTTAGAGTGAAGCCAGACTTCCCGTCCTGCCAGCCTCACCCCTTTGGCAGCTGGTACGCACAACAGCAGAGCGGTTATCCTCCTGGCTACAGCTCTGGCTGCGGGGCGGGTGGAAATGGACCCAACCTTTATTCTGTGTGTGAGACCTCCATTTACCCGGCTGAGACTTCGCTTCCACCCAAGGTATCTCTCCCTGGCATGGATTCTGCGTTGTTCGCGTGTCCGGTATGGGGACATCTTTTTCTTTTCTCCATGCCCTGGAGAAAGTGAAAGTGAAGTCGCTCAGTCATGTCCGACTCTTGGCGACCCTGTGGACTGTAGCCCACCAGGCTCCTCCATCCATGGGGTTCTCCCGGCAAGAATACTGGAGTGGGTTGCCATTTCCTCCACCAGGGGATCTTCCTGACCCAGGGGTCGAACCCAGGTGTCCTGCATGTGGGCAGATTCTTTACCGCTGAGCCACCGGTGCCTGTAGAGAGGAAGGGTAATAAGTTACACTGCCCCTGAGAGCCCGCGAGTCTGGAGTAACTGACCAAGATCTGTCTGGGGAGTGCTTCTGGAGTTTATGTCCTTCCTTACCTAAGAAGACGATGAATTAGTCTTCTTTTCTGTAGCCTCTGTGTTTCCTCAACAGCTACTGTCTGGTCCTTAGCTGGGCCGCGGGGTTGGGATGGGATTGGAAGGCCACGAGGGCTATGTGCCCATGGAGACTTCACAGATTGTCACCTGGCAGGAATGGCAGAGCTCCAGGTGCAGATGTGGGTGCCGGGATTGTGGAGTCTGATGCCAGGGTCCCTGCTATCTGGTGCCTCCCCCCAGACTCCAGGGGGCCTCTTAGATCCCTGAAACTGCAGAGAAGGCAGGCGCCTCTGACCAGTGCTCCTCCTGTGTGGGTTTTCTTCTACAGGCTCAGCTCACCTGTTGCATGATTGCAGTATTTTGTCATTTAAATGACAAATCTTTTAATCAAAAGTCAAAAGCTTGCTCAAGAGGGAGTTTAGTGTTGTAGATTTCTTTTTTTTTTAATAGGACTTTAAAAAAATTTTATTTATTTGTCTGTGCCGTGTCTTAGTTGCAGCATATGGAGTCTAGTTCCCCCGACCAGGGATTGACCCCTAATCCCTTGCATTGGGAACACAGAGTCTTAGCCACTGGACCTCCAGGGATCTCCCTGAAGGTTCTTTTATTTATTTATTTTTTAAAAAATTTGTACTTATTTGATTGCATCGGGTCTTAGTTGCAGTACACAGGATCTAGCACAGATTCTCCAGCTGTGTCACAGGAGCTTAGTTGCTCCTTGACAAGTGGGATCTTAGTTCTTCAACCAGGGATTGAACTTGCGTCCTCTGTATTGCAAGGCAAATTCTTAACCGCTGGACCACCAAGGAAGTCCCTATGAAGGTTCTTTTAATCAAAATTCAAAATAAAGTTTGATTGAAAGGGATTTTAGTGTTGTAGATACTCTTTTTGAGAGCTAAATTCTTCCAGGAAAGTGTGTCAATAGCAACCCTTTAAGTAAAAAAAAAATTTTTTTAACATACTGATTTTCATTGTAGGAAACCACACCTCTCGCTGAAAACCAAGATGAAGATTCACTCGAAGGTAACAGAAGCCTTATGCTTAGTTAAAAACAAAACTTACCCTTTTTCCAGGTCCCTCATTCACTTAGCTGGCTATAAACTGAGAGATCCTACTGGAAAGTTCCAACGTAGGTCTCCCTCCCTCGGTTTCTGAATTAATTGTTATAAACCATTTCTTCGTTTCTATCAGTCTGTTAACTGAACAGATAAAGAAAGCAGCATGTTATTTTTCATAGATCCCTGTCTTAGGGATCTGGTCCTGGCTTACTCTTTGGTGTCATATCCACCCAGGTCCTCATGCTAGAAACCCAAGGCTTGCCCCCCACCCCCCCGCCCCATCCCTTCTCTCTCTTCTGCTCCAAGTTGAATACATTTCTGAATACTGTCCATTCGTCTCCAAATTCTCTCTCAATTCTGTCCATTCTCTCCATTTCTCCCATCATCTACTCATTGAATCCAGTAGCACCGCTTTTATAGCTTCAGTTTCTATTATTAAAGTCTTATCAAAAACATGCAATTTAAAAAATTAATATTAAATATCTGCACTATTTCCTGCTGATGTTTTTTAAAAGCTCTGGTTTTAAGCCATTTCTAATATGTGTCCTGTAAAACTCTTATTTTTTCCCCGTATGTATTATTGGCTTCTGCAGATCCAAATCTCCACTTGAATATTGAGGAACTCAACAAAGAGTTTATGGTGAAAAGTGAAGAGCTCTACCAATCTCTCATGAATTGCCACTGGCAGCCTCTCGATACAGTGCACTCAGAAATCCCAGACAAGACCCCCCAAGAGCAAGATGCTTATTAAGCTACCCAACTAACATAGATTGTGTCTTGTTTTGTTTCTGTTTTAAAAAAAAGTTCTCCGAGGAAGGCACTGGATTGTGTATGTAAATACAGATTCCCAGGACTTAAACCTGATTGAGATGAGAGAATGTAATGTAAATAAACTTGACCAGCGCGTTCATTTCTGGAAGTGCGTTGTATTATGTGGGTGTCAGCAGGGGCCACATCCAGCTTCCTGGGTGACTCTGGTTAAAGAATCCTCCTGCCAACGCAGGAGACTCAGGTTCCATCCCCGGGCGGGGAAGATCCCCTGGAGAAGGAAATGACAACCCACTCCAGTACTCTTGCCTGGGAAATCTCAGGGACAGAGCAGCCTTCCGGGCTATAGTCCATGGGGTTCACAAAAATTAAAGTCTTATCAAAAACATGCAATTTAAAAAATTAATATTAAATATCTGCACTATTTCCTGCTGATGTTTTTTAAAAGCTCTGGTTTTAAGCCATTTCTAATATGTGTCCTGTAAAACTCTTATTTTTTTTCCCCGTATGTATTATTGGCTTCTGCAGATCCAAATCTCCACTTGAATATTGAGGAACTCAACAAAGAGTTTATGGTGAAAAGTGAAGAGCTCTACCAATCTCTCATGAATTGCCACTGGCAGCCTCTCGATACAGTGCACTCAGAAATCCCAGACAAGACCCCCCAAGAGCAAGATGCTTATTAAGCTACCCAACTAACATAGATTGTGTCTTGTTTTGTTTCTGTTTTAAAAAAAAGTTCTCCGAGGAAGGCACTGGATTGTGTATGTAAATACAGATTCCCAGGACTTAAACCTGATTGAGATGAGAGAATGTAATGTAAATAAACTTGACCAGCGCGTTCATTTCTGGAAGTGCGTTGTATTATGTGGGTGTCAGCAGGGGCCACATCCAGCTTCCTGGGTGACTCTGGTTAAAGAATCCTCCTGCCAACGCAGGAGACTCAGGTTCCATCCCCGGGCGGGGAAGATCCCCTGGAGAAGGAAATGACAACCCACTCCAGTACTCTTGCCTGGGAAATCTCAGGGACAGAGCAGCCTTCCGGGCTATAGTCCATGGGGTTCACAAAACAGTCAGACAAGAGTTAGCAACTAAACAGTAACAGCAGAGAAGAGAGGTCACAGAACTATCAAGTTAGACCAGGCTGCACTGTAAGGCATTTGAAAATAGGTGTCCTAAAACAACATTGTGAATCAACTATATTTCAATTGTAAATCAACTATGAAACAACATTGTAAATCAACTATATAAAACTATATGAAAAAAAGAAGGTAATGGATTTAATATGCCATGGGCCTGACCTAAACCGATGGTGGCATTAGCTACTCTGATATATAGAATGATTTGCTGCTTTCCTCTGTTCACAAACACTGCAAGCCTTCTCACCTGCATCTGGTGTAGCAAAACGTAGATTAGAACTAGATGTTTGATCTCCATTGCCAGACCCTCAGGCTCTCCTATGAGAGCACTAGATGATAGAAGACAGTTGAGTCCTCAGCATGGAAAAAGTGTGCTTGATCAGAGCAGCCTGTCAGCCTTCTGAGACAGAGCACGTGTACCCCCGAGACACCATTCTGCAGCTTCAGTGCGCGGGTTGATGAGCACTTTCACTCTGGGGTTTTACTCTTGTGGAGCACTTCCGCCATCATGCCAAGAAACCCACTCAAACCTAAAGATGAGAGGTCGTGTGGAAGGGAACTGGAGTGCCCCGGTAAAGAGCCAGCACACAGCCTCACTCACCTGACATCTCGGACTGTCCGCTGACTGTACCCCCAGGAGTGATCCCAGGGGAGACCAGCAGGGGGGCCCAGCCCCTAGAGTTGATCCTGTTTTCCACGCCAGCCCAGAGAATCCCACATACGGAGGAGCCTGGGGTCTGCAGTCCACGGGGCCACGAGGAGTCGGACACAGCCGAGCACACAAAAAGATCACACTATGATCTGACAGGGGTGTGACAAAGACACAAATCAGCACGGCAAAAATTTGAATTTTGAGAGTCGATATTTGTCGTCAGAAAAGTGACCATAAATCCATGTTTTCTTGCATCTTCGTTGTCAAGAAATAGCCAGTTTGTTTCACTGACATCTATCTTACATACAAATAAAAAGGCAAATGTTTTAAAAACAAGTCTAGGGAATTCCCTGGCGGTCCAGTGGTTAGAACTCCGTGCTTTCACTGCTAGGGCCTGGGTTTGGTCCCTGGTTGGGGAACTAAAAGCTTACAAGCCTCATGGTGCAGCCATAAAAAAAAAATACAGGGGGCTTGCTTGATAGCTCAGTGGTAAAGAATCCGCCTGCCAGTGCAGGAGACATGGGTTCAATCCCTGGTCAGGGAAGATCCCGTATACTGCGGACCCACTAAGCCTGTGTGCCACAGTTACTGAGCTTACACTCTAGAGCCGGGGAGCCGCCACTACTGAAGGCTGCGTGCCCTGGAGCCCGTGTTCCGCACAAGAGAAGCCTCCGCAGGGAGAAGCCCACTCACTGCAGCTAGATCGTAGCCCCCAGTGCCTGAAACTAGAGAAAAGCCCATGCAGCAAGAAGACCCCGCACAGCCCAAATAACAAAATTAACTGTACATATATACATATATATATATGAAGAAATGAGTGGAAGCTTCCAGCTCAAAAAAATCCTACATAAACACAGCAATATTTCTTTACCCCCATTTTATATTGGTGGAAGCTTTTTAAATGGCATTAGCCTAGATGACCCCCACCCCTTGGAAAAATGTCTTGATTCCCTACCAAGATGAAAATTTCCATAGGTGGTAATGACTACAGCATCAGTAAGTTTCCTATGCCTTCAAAGTATTTCTCTACCAGCCTGTCCAGATTTAAGTCACTCCGTTGCTTTTTGTAGCCGTCATCCCCAAAGAATCTGTTAAGGACTGTGGTTACTTTTTAAACCATCATTCTTCCACAGAGTCATCTGATACACAGCCAGCCATGCAGGTGGAAAGTTTAATTCAGAGGCTTCCTGCTGGGTCCTTTGTGAAAGCCTCCGTGGAGTGCTGATCGTGGGTTATCAAGTCTCGCCTGCTCAGAGATACCCGTCAAGAACCAGAGCTTCAATCTGCGGCCCTGGCAGTCATCAGCGCTTTCCCCCCTTGCCCTTCACGACCCATTACACCTATTTAGTCAGAGCCTAAGGGAATGAATCTAGAGTTTCCCAGCCAGCGAATTGCGATCTGCAGGACACTGTTTACTGTTTCACCCTGCTGCTTTCCCCACTGGTTTCTTCGTGTTCTGGCTGTGGATTTCTCTGTTCCCCATCCTTTTCTTTTATCACATTCCCATACTCTAGATAAAGAATATACAGACTTGTCCTTTTCTCTTTTTTTAAATTAAATTAAAACATTACTTATCTAGGGCCGCACTGGGTCTTCGTTGCACCTGGGCTTTCTCCAGTGATGGCAAGTGGGGCTACTCTCCTGTCGCAGAGCACAGGCTCCCAGGCGCAAGGGCTTCAGTAGGCGCCCTTCAGAATGTGGGATCTTCCAGGACCAGGGATCGAACCCATGTCCCCTGCACTGGCAGGCGGATTCTTAACCACTGGACCGCCAGGGAAGTCCAGACGTGTCCTGTCCATAGTACCATCTTCATCAGGAAATGGTATTTGAGGCCAGTCCAGTCTGTTTCCATCATTTGGTTTAATGTGAAGGCACTCCATGTTACTGGGACATGCCTTACCCATCTGGTCTGTCCGGGACAAAGGTAAAAGTCACCCAGCTCCAACCCTCAACACACAGCCAGCACAGAATTAAAAACCAAACTAAACTGGTTTTGATCACTCAACTTTGATTTTGTAAGACGTTAACCTTAGATGTTGAGTGAAAGGTCTACACAAATTCTTTATACCATGTTGGCGACTTTTCTCTGAAGTCTATAAAGTTTTTTAAAATAAGACAGTTTGGAAAGTCATCAGAAACTTTCCATTTTGCCTTCTGTACAGTTGATGCCCTGAAGTTCATTGATCATTCACTTTAATGGAAATAAAAAGCCCGAAGCTCATAAATAATTCACTTTCATTTTGACTCACTTTCTCAGTGGCTCACCTAATAGCCTCAACTCCTAATCACATGCTTGAGGCTCACTTTTACATTTGACACACAACGCTGGCTGTTGGTTTCTGAATTTTGGTTCTTTTAGGAAGAACCTGGTGTGTGTGTCTGTGTCTGTGTGCATGCTCTCAATTGTGTCCAACTCTTTGTTTCATGAGAAACGCTGGGCTGGAGGAAGCACACGCTGGAATCAAGATTGCCGGGAGAAATATCAATAACCTCAGATATGCAGATGACACCACCCTTATGGCAGAAAGTGAAGAGGAACTAAAAAGCCTCTTGATGAAAGTGAAAGAGGA